GCTGCTTCAAATTTTTTTTTTTTTTATTGCAATGGAATCAAGTGTCATAATCAATTGTAAATTTTTTTTCACTTTAATGGACAATTTTCATGTAAAACAAAATCAAACGAACACTAAACTTTGATAAAAAAAATGATTTTTTAGGAAACAATTTTTTTTTACTTTTTAGCAATGGAAACAAATTTTATAACCAATTGTGAAAAAAATATTACTTTAATGGACAATTTTCATGTAAAACGAAGTCAAACGAATAGAAAATTTAAAAATTTTTCGGGTGGAAAATTATACCAATCAAACACACTTGAAATCATTTTCCCTACAAAATATTTTCTAAGAAAATCTTTTCCCTGTTAAACATTTTCTTTACACCCATTTTCCACCCTTGCAATAATTTAAAAATTTTCCGGGTGAAAAATTATACCAATAAAACACACTTGAAATCATTTTCCCTGCAAAACATTTTCTAGGCAAATCTTTTCCCTGTAAAACATTTTCTTTCCACCCATTTTCCACCCTTGTAATCAAACGCACCCTTAGAGTTATAAATGAAGTAGAACACAAAAACCGCATCAAAAACGAAGTTGAAGTCAATTTTTCCAATCAGGTGGTGCTGCTGTGCCACAGCTGACGCCTCGACGCTCGTAGGCCGGTGTCGACCTTGCTGCCTATTTCTTCTTGATGGGCGCTCCTGTTTGCCGCCTCATTTTTCGGCGCCCTTTTCTTCCATCTTTGTCCTCTCGAAACACTTCTTCATCAATTTCAGAGTTCTTATCCCAATCAAACTCTCAATTCATGATGATATTTTGATCTTCTATCAAACTGCACTTCTAAACCTTAATTATCTAGACTTCTTTCATGAATCAAACTTCCAAATTACATGAAATTTAAGTTAAAACATAACAAACTCTATCTTGATACAAGTTCCATAGCAAGGAATTAAGTCTTCACTATTCAAGTCATTCTCCAAACTCTTCCACCATGCCCCTGTCGGGCATAATCAGCAACTATGAACTAAATTCAATCTCTGCTTACGAGCAGAACTACCTTATGTGCCAAACCTGCTTGAGTCATCCCATTCACTTCTAGCTCCAGTTAAGTCACAAAACATGCTCAAATCACTACGAACACTTCCAACTCCACCTGAGTTGTCGAATCTGTTTGAATCACCATGAGCAACATGATCAATAAGATCACAACTAGTTCTACCTGAGCTACATGAAGATTCTCCAATATTATTATTCGAATCATCACGAACAACCTGATCACAACCAACTCTACCCGAGTTATTGTTTATTGAACTATAAGTTGTAGCTGCATCCATAGTGATCATCAGACCTTCTAAAACATAATCGAGACTTTCTCTACCCCTTTAACACAACCCGACCACCTTTGCTAATTTTCATAACTCCACCTCTACTAGTATACATGTATCCTTTTGAATTAAGATTAACTCAAAGATATTAAATTCTTATTTATACCTGGAACATGTCGAACCGACCAAGCGTTCTAACCGTCCCATCAAATACCTTGATTTTGACATTACCAATCCCAACTATTTTACAAGGCTCGTTATTTTCGATCATTACGGAACCCTTTGTAACCATTTCATATGAAGAAAATCAATCTCGATTTGAACACATATGAAAAGTGCAAACTGATTCAAGAATCCAATCCTCGTCATGTTTGGAGTCACCATTAGTAATTGCCAAAAGATCTCCATCATTGTCTTCTTCTACAAGATTGACACTATTGGAATTTTCTGGTTGTTCCTTCTGATCGGTAGTAGCAAACATGTTCAGCCACTTATAGCAATCCCTTTTCATGTGCTACTTGTTGTTGCAATACCAACAAACTTTATTATTGTTGCTATCCTTGACTCTGTTTCTTCGATGACCATCTGTGTTCCTCTCATGAATAACAAGACCCTCTGCCTGGGCATAAAACTAATGACCAGATGTTTCATTTTTTCCTTAAAATAAAGCGTATCATATATCTCGTCAATAGTAAGAGTATCTCAACTATAGAGAATGATATTTCTAAAAGTCACATATGAAGGCGGCAACAAATTTAACAATTTCAGCCATAAATCCTCTTCATCATATTTGACCTCCATGATCTCCATATTAGTGATGATTTTCTTGAACACCGATAGATGATTGTCCAAAGATGCACATTCCATCAAGTGATATGAATATAAGCGTTGCTTCAAGTATAACTTACTGGTTAAACTCTTTGTCATACAAAGTTGCTCCAATTTCAACCACAACCCAGTGGGACTTTTTTCCATTACCACGTCATAAAGAATTTGATTAGAAAGATGAAGATGTATCTGTGATAGGACTTTCTGATCCCTGCGTCAATTCTCCTCGCTGTCATTGTTGCGAGCATTCTATTTATCCCCAAAAAGCATTATCAAGATCCAATTGAGCAAAAATCGCTCACATTTTGATTTGCCACAAAGAGAATCTACTTTTGTGATCTAAAAGTAGAATCTCAATCCTTGAAACAATTGATCTTATTCAAATCTCGCTTTAATAACCAATTTGGACATCCCAAGAACTGCAAAAAAAAAACATTCAGCTCTGATACCAATTGTGGAGAATCCGACCAAATAATACAAACGAGAATAATATGAGTAATATGAAAATAATAGATCACACAATAATCAATATTTTGTGGAAGAAGAGGAGAATTTATTATATCAATAAATTAAAATTATCGTTACAAGATTTAATTCTCTCAAGTTTCCAATGTATACAATAATGATCTAATTGTTATATTGAGTTTATGAAGAGCCTACACTACGTGGAATACATATAGAAGCCAAATTTTGAAATTATGGATGAAGTAGAACACAAAAAACCACTTCAAAACCAAGTAGAAGTCCAATTTTCCAGTCAGGTGGCGCTGCGACGCCACAACCCGTGCCTCGGCGCCCATAGGCCTACTCCTGCCTATTTCTTCTTGCTAGGCGCTGGCATTGCGGCACCCAGCCCCTGTTTGCCTCCTCTCCCGATGCCCTGACACCATTTGCTCCATCATTGTCTTTTCAAAACATTTCTTCATCAATCCCAAAGTCCTGATCCCAATCAACTCTCAATTTTTAATGATATTTGATATCTTATCGAATCAGACTTCTAAACCAAAATTATCTAAACTTTCTCCATGAATCAAATTTCCAAATCATATGATATTTGAGTCATAAACATAACAATATATATGCAACCATGGATTGAACAAGAAAAATAATACGCGAAGTCAATCTCAGCATTGCTATTGCAAATTTACATAAGCAAAGTGAGGAAAAAAAAAAGCCAAACTAAACCTTTAAAAAGGATTAGTTCAATTTCATAATCCTACGACTATATTTGACTCCATAGTTCATGAAACCACGAGATAGGACACATAGTTGTTAAAAAGGGATATACTTAACCTAACCGATCGAAACCTCCTTTGTTGCTCCCTGCACCTCGGCCGCCCGTCTCGGACCAATGCTTCCAAAACACTTTTTTATCCATTCCAAAGTCATTTTTCCAATCAAACTCTCAATCCACTCTCAATCCATGATAAAATTTGATCACTTATCAATTCGGACTTCTAGACCAAAATTATTTAGACATTCTCCATGAACCAAACTTCAAAATCACTTGGAATTTGAGTCACAACATAAAAATATCCAATAAAAATAAAACAATTCACGATATTTGATATACTACAAATACTGGATATTATAACAAACTTACTAACCCCCATAATTTCCCTAATATTTTGTGACTGAAAGGAAGCAACTGCTAGGAGCACGCAAACCATTAATTATATCTCTATCAGTTAATTCTTATTTTTCAGATGCTCCAGTAAATCGCCAAGAAGAGGTGGAAAAATTTTCATGTGCAACTGGATTGAAGATTTTGCTTGAAATCATTTCTGTTCATCTCAAGGTAAGAATGCATAATCTAGATGTGTAATCTTGCGATGCATGAATCTACGATTTGTGGGATTAGTGTTCAACATATTACCAGTTGTTTTATATACTGAAACAGTGTTGACACGGCTTACAATTCCAAAACCTCTGTTTCATAATTGTTGGAATTTTGTATAGAAATGATTATTTAAGTGGAAATCGTTATTTGGTGAATGAAAAATTAAGCCAAATTCAAGGCACTTAAATAAGTGAAATTGTTGAAAATTATATAGAATATTATGGCCTATTCCAAAATTATTTGGATAAAAAGTTGTCTTTTTAGAAATGATATTTTTTCAAAAGTCACGTTCTTTTGTTGTAGAGACGTCTCTTTAGACATGTATTTTCTAACAAGACATGTCTTTTTAGACATGCATTTTTATTAAGTTGCATCTTTTGATTTACAACTTTTGGACAGTAGGTACAGCTAGGCCGTGGACAGCCAACCATCGTACTGTAAAAAATCCATATATTGACTCCATGTGATTGGAATTATTTCATTCAATTCATAAATTGCATATCATATTGATGCATATTCATTTGTTCATTTACAATGAATAAAATTTCATAAAAGAGAGTTCAAAATATTAGTAATATTTGTTGGTTTACGTAATTTGGAGTGCTCCAATCGTGGGACATGATCGTTTTATTTTGGGAAACTAATGTTGAAAAATCGTTAACACATGTGCGGGGCATTATCGTTTTAAGACGAAAGAGTCAAACTCTTACCTCGACCAAATTCATATTCATGCATTTCTCTTTTCTACTTCTCATGTTCCGTTTCGATAAATCAAAACTCTATTCGATTTCATGCACGTAAAATATATGTTATTAGAATATAATTTATGTGTGTTTACAATTTATCTAACAATAATTTGTGGTGAAATTATACATCTTCATGAAACAAATTGACACAAGTTACGACATGGGTTAAGTATGCGTTTTTGTACAATTTGGTATATTTTATGGAGCATATCTATGCATTGTCGTTTATTGATTTTACGGTACAGTAGAGTTGTAATATCATGCCCTTTTTATCTTTAACCTTTTTTTTTGTGCTGCGGAATCTAAACCACATATAATTTTGTAACCTGAAAACCATGCTTGAATGTTGCATCACTGATTTCCTAAGATGTCACATTAGATGTCTTGATCGGTCATTGATTAAGCTACGAATGAAATGCATTTTTCTCCGTAAGTGCTTATGAAAACCTGTCATGTTAAAGCTTAAGAATGATTCATTGTTGGTACGGATATACGATAATATCGGTTCATGTTTGTCGTAGCTACGGAACAGTAAATGTGTTCATTAGTAATTGTGGGGATGACACATTCGGGAGTCTTGTACCAACGGGGTGCAGTGCACCTATGTGAAACTTCTTGATATTATATTGACGAAGTTGAAGTTTGATTGAAGGAGGGACCCTATGAAAATACAGCATGAGGTTGATAGTAACATGGCCCCGACAAAGATGACAAATGACAACTCCGAAATCCTTCCACCTTGATCTAAAACAAAAGTCAAGAAGTGTGTGTAGTATTTCCAATCCTTTGGTGTGAAGAAACGAAGCGTCAAAACTAAATGAGCAGCTCATAGACTCCCATACGAGGTGTCAAACATAGATATTAATAGTGGCACAGGAGATATGTTATGACTTGCTCTAATAAGCAATGTCCAATATATTGACATGAACGCTACGTCATGAGGAGAAAAGCTTTATTCAACTCGCACTTACTAGGATGTAGCATGTATTTTGGAACGTCTTACTTCGACGAGTGCTAACTTTTGTTACGGTTGACCGTTTCGTACGCCATTAGAGATGGTGGAAATTAGGTCGTGAGCACTTCGATATAATATTAAAAATGCAATATTTCGATTTCATTTGATATCCCGTAATGAATTCGAAAATTGAGACAAAATAAGAAAAATCTTTTATATATTTTGGAACGTCTTATTTCGACGAGTGCTAACTTTTGCTATGATTGGCCGTTTCGCACGCCATTAGAGATGGTGAAAATTAGGTCGTGAACACTTCGATATAATATTAAAAATGTAATATTTCAATTTCGTTTGATATCCCCATAATAATTTCAATAATTGAGATTAAAAAAAAAAAAAAAACTTTAAACAAGGGCTGTCTG